GAACTTGTCGCACTTCGCTCTCGAGACACCTGGGTCTTGGTGGACCGCACAGCAGTGAAGGGAAGGAAGATCCTATATGGGAAATGGGTCTACCGCGTCAAGACGGACGCCCAAAGAAACATCGAGCGCTACAAAGCACGATGGATCATACGAGGCTACGAATAATGTCATAACGTCGACTTCGACCTAATCTTTGCCCTTGTCAGTCGTCACACCTCCGTGCGCATTCTCCTCGCCATTGCCGCATGCCGGCACCTGGAGCTCCGACAGATCGACGTCAAGAATGCGTTCCTATACGCAACGGTTGACGCTCTGATCTTCGTCGAGTAACCTCACACCTACGCGATGGGGATCCTCGGATCAAGCAGACACCATGCCTCTGGCAGCAGCACTTGCTTGATATCTTGCTGGATATCGGCTTCCTCCAGCTACCCCATGACCCCTGGGTGTATCACCTCCACTTCCGCGTGGACTACATCCTCCTCACGGACTACGTCGACGATCTACTGTAAACGGGCACCAACCCAGATCTGCTTGACCAATTCGAGTGAAGCATGGGAGAGCGCGTCGACATCACCACCTCCAAAACTGTGACTCAATTTCTCGGGATCAACATCTCCTACATGCCAGAAGTCATTCACCTCTCCGCGTCGAAATATGCCGAGACCCTTGCCAAGAAATTTAGCCTCACATCAGCACCGCTCTCCACACCCTACCGAACACCTGCCGCAAGCTACAAGCCCAACACCAAGACATTGGCACCTGCCGCACATCAACGCTGCCAACAACAACTTGGCTATCTGATGTTCGCCACCGTCATATGCCGGCCCGACCAATCTTACATTGCTAGCCAGCTCGCCCAGTAGTTCTCGACGACATGAAGGGGAGAACCTCCTAGATCTACAGCGAGCTCTCATGTATTTCATTTTGACTCCCAACATCGGCCTCTTCTACTCCACCATCACTACACCTTCATTCCAACTCACTGGCCATGTCGACGCAAATCACGCCGCAGACCTTGCTTATCGTTATTCATGCACAGGTTTCTTCTTTCAACTAGAACCTACTGGACCTATCTCCTGGAACTCACAGAAGTAGGAATCGATTGCTCTCTCCTCGGCTGAAGCAGAATGAATTGCAGCAACATCTGTTGTTCGCCAAGGACTCTACCTTCAAGAACTGCTGCAAGAAGCGAAGCTCAGCACGTCGCCAACCTTCAGGTTACATTGGGACAACTAGAGCATAATCAAGATTGCCAACAAACCCGGCTTCGTAAATCGCACAAAGCAAATCGCCCTACGATACTTTTTAGTCAAGGACGAAGTCGACAAAGGCAAGGTGGACTTGACATACTGCCCCACTTGTGACATGGCAACTGACTTCCTTACCAGGAAGCTGTCACAACAACAGTACCAGCACTACGCCGAGCCCTGCGGGATTTCTAAGCGCGCCAAGCTCAAGTACCTTCACCAATGAAGGGGAGTGTTGGGACAAGGAATTAATTCTTACATTCCTAAAAATGACACTTGAGCAGTAACTCTTATCGAGTTCGCGTCTATGACGAATCACGAAGTGCAAACCTTGTGTCAGGAAAATCTCTCGCTGCCTCCGAACAAGCAAGCAAGTGGCTTCCAAGCCGATGCCATACTGGAAAGCCACTCGCCAAACTAGGAGAAACCCCCAGGACCGCAAACATGTCGCAACCCACTTGAAACCCAATTGCAATTGGTGCCCCCTTAGTTGACGATGGAGCTCTCGATAATAAGCTAGATCCCAGGCCACCTTGCCTGGAAAAGGCTGGCGTGCATGGTGCGCATTCGACTTACCATTTTCTCATCTTATTTTGATAGATTGAATCCGTTGCTAGAGGCATCCGTTTAAATTTCCAGCTACCAGCTTTTCTTCCCTCTTATTTCGAGATAAATTGGAGGGGTTGTTGGAAGCGTCCTTCATTTCTTCAGATGCCACTCCCCCGCTTACATTCTTAGGTCATCGCCACTGCGCTTGGGTTGGCATAGAAGTCTTGCTGTGGCATCTTTCGCATGCTACTGTCGAAATCCTGGCTGCTGTGGCGAAATGCATGCAAGGGCAACTCATGACAATATGCTAGCAATTACCAACTGTTTCTTGGTGAAATAATTTGGGCAGTGGCAAAATGCTTGCTTATCGATTAATTGGTGCAGGAACTCAGCACTAGCACAAACATAACTGATATGGCGAAAGCCAATCTAGGGGAGAACATAGTAGTACACCGAGTGGTGCATTTCGAACTCGCCAGAGCATCCATAGGCTATGGTGTAACAAGACGGAGGCAAAATCGTCACTCCCGATTTCGCCAACTGAACTCCATTTGATTTCGAGGTTGAAAACCAACCACGGAACACACCTTTGGGCAATTCGAAGGTTGAACCCAACCTCAAATTGTTCAACCAGTCAATCGGATTTTCCAACCTTGGGAACAACTACATAGAGCACGCAAGCTAGCCAGGCAGCGCAGCAGAATAATCGACAGCGACACCAAATAACTGGAAAGCAACTACAGCCAGAGTCTTTACCAACACAGCTATATCTCATCATTTTTAAGAATGTTATCAGCAACAGCAGTACATGGAGAACTATGCTACGCTTCAATAGTTAATTCATAGACTATGCATCCTCGTTCCTAGAATTCCAGCTAGGCTAAGTGTGTATGCATGTAATCATTGTTCTTAGCTTAGCAAATGTGAGAAGCGACTTGGGTGACCCTGTCATTCTCCTTGTATATAGTGGTGTGCTTCTTGACTGGAAAGCATCATATGATCTCTAGTAAAGATACCTTTGCTACTTCTACCCTTAACTCTACTATCCACTCCAAACAGCCTAGTGGCTGTTTCATTTGGTGATCAGAGCTATTTTCGACCCTCTTTTTTTTAGAACTCGTCATGACGACTAACGGCCCCCCTTCTCCTGACGATTGGGCTGGTTTCTTGCAAACCTACTGAGCCCAAATTATCTCTGAGGTTAGAGAAAGCTTGCAGGCAGAATTGCAAGCCCGTATAGCTGCAGCTGGAGTGGTGGAAGGCGTGAACCCTGCTGCACCATCGGATGGAAATCAACGCGCTAGACCCGCTCTTCCTGATTTTTTCTTTCTCGGGAAAAATCAGCCGGTCGTGAGCCAATGGCTATTTCTCGTAGAGCAGTTCTTGCTGCTGAGTCACATAGCACCTGCTGAATGGACTACCTTCACCGGAACTCTTCTTCGTGGATCTGCAATCGCATAGTGGCAATCTGTGTACGCATCTATCACCTCTTGGGAACACTTCAGGCAAGTCTTCATGTCAACATTTCAACCCGTGAACCCGAACATCAAGGCACGAGACTCCTTGGCTGCCCTCAAGCAACTGAAATCTGTCCAGAAGTATGCCTCTCGCTTCCGTGATATCACTCAAGAAATTCCGGACCTCTCCATTGCTGAACAAATGGATCGCTTCAAACGTGGATTGAAGCCGAACGTGAGCATGGAGGTGGAGCTGAGAGACTGCACTACGCTCGAGGAAATGATATGCATGGCTGAACGGTATGATGCTGTTCACTTTGCCTACAGTAAGTCTCGCTTTCCTCGCAGCCCGCTTCTCCTTTTTGCTCCCTCCTACCAATCCTTCACTTCAGCAGACAACAACCAGCAAGAAACTGCTCCTATGGACCTGGACCTGATGGAGAAAAGAAAGCGGAACATTAGGCCCCCAGTCATGTGATTCAAGTGCGGCAAGAAAGTGATGGTGCAACCCTATGGCTTGCACTCGGCTTGTCGTCCTTGTTTGTGTGTGTGCATGCATGGCATGGAATGAATTGTGAGTCTATGTCATTTCAATCTAGTGCTTGTGTGTGTGTTTGAATGGTGTATCACAATGTGGTTTGTGTCCGTCAAGACATTAGCGAGTTTTTACAACTCGCATGTCAAGTCGTCGTTTGCGTGTCGCATGTGTTTTTTCTATTTTGTCGAGTGTGAAGTGTCCATCGCGTCGCAGGTGTGTGCAGCAAGCCCCCATCAACTCAAGAAGAATTTAACTTGCAGAACCAAGACGAAGAGCTCAAGATTTCAAGCCCAAGGGACGCGGATAAATATTAAATAGTGAAAATAGTAACGCTACTTCGTGTAGTGTTACATTTCACTTGGTGTAGCCCCTTGGAGGGTTTGTTTCGAGACTCTTCATGGTTGGGGACTCTGTGGTGGTGTACCACCAACCTGGACCTCGGCTCTTGGGGTATGTAGAGGCTGGGAACCATCTCCATCTCGAACTCTTCTTGCTAAGTTTGTACTTCCAAGACTATAGTGGCTATATACCTCCTGCCAGTCAAACCGCCATAGCGTCATCATATCTTCATGGAATTTCATTATTCAACTTGCTGCTGATAGACGACAGCAACGCGCTTTAGATCCAACTTATATATCACCATTTGATTCAGCGACCAGATCGTTATCAATATTTGAAACCGTCTGATGGAAATCCGAATGTGCTCTCTATCTCTCATTATAGGCACATCTAAGCCTATTGTGATTATAACAAGTGGTATCAGAGCCCCTTGGAGCCGTCTCGACCATGCCTAGACTTGAGGAAGGGGGTGGCAGAGGTGCTGGAGGCAGAGAAGACGCCCAAGCACAAGGTCAACACCAAGATCCACCCGTTGCTCCGGTGCAACCTAGCCTTGGACCCTCTAGGGATGAGCCTAGAGTGTTTGGCCTTGACAAGTTCAACAGTGACAACTTTGCTGAGTGGTCCTTCAAGATGGAGAACATCTTTGACCACTATGATCTGCTGGAGGTGATGGAAGGAACGGAGAAGCGCCCCAAGAACGACCCGGAGAAGAGCCCGTGGGTGCGGAAGAGCGCACAAGGCTACCTTCTACTTGGGCAAGCGTTGGGGAGCAGCCAAATCCGTCATATCAAGCCTTTTCAGCGTGAACCAGCAAAGGGACCAAAGGCATGGGCTGCTCTAAAGGGTGTACACGCTCCTGCAATAGCAGCGGTGGCTGTGGTTTTGGAGCGGCAAATGGCGGCACTTCGAATTGACGAAGGCGAACCGGGGGAGGAAGGAGTGCAGAAATTCTTCGACTTGTTGACACGGCTCGAAGGAGCTGATCTGAAGTATAGTGGCCTTCAAAAGAAGACCAAGCTGCTGGCCTTACTTCTGGACTCATGGTCCTCGCTCATCATCAACCTTAATCGAGATCTGCCGCGTCTCTCACTCGAGTATGTGAAGCGGGAAACCTTACAAGAAGATTTCCGCCGTCGCCGATTGGCGGGTACCGATGGTGCCGGAGTTGCAAGCATGGGCCGTGGGCACGGCCGTGGAAGGGGCAGAGGGCGAGGAGGAAGATTTGGCAGCAGCTACTTCAATGGAGGCCGTGGTAATGGAGGATATGGCAGCAACAACAACAACAATGGCTACGGGCGTGGGCGCGGTCGATTTGATGGCGAATGCCACTTTTGCCACAAGACCGGCCACATGTGGAGAGATTGCTTCAGATTGCCTGATGGATGGACCCCCTCTCAAGGCCAAGAGGGCAGAGGAGCAAGGGGAGGAAGAGGCAGAGGACGTGGAGGCTGTGGTGGTCGTGGAAGCGAAGCGGCAAGCATGAAAGGTGGAGACTACGACAAGGACTCGAGTGAAGATCGATACCCGGGCCAATTCTTCTTTGTCTCCACGCAAGCGGAAGCTGCAGCAGGAGGGGTGGAGGGCTTTGAGGAGCCAGCTACTGTGGGAAAGGTCAGCGTTTGGTGGCGGTGATCACGGAAAACAAAGTGACACCAAGAGTGACTCGAAGGAGTGCAATCTTGGAGAGACGAGCAAGGCGTGTGAACCCAAAGAGAGTGGTGCAGCAGCCAAAGGTGGTGGAAATGAGGAGGAGAAGTCTAAGATCAGCAAAGCAGCAGCGGCAAAGGAGAAAGGAGAGAGCTTGTGGGGCACAATTGCGAGTGCCGCTTTCTCCAACCCGACTTCTGTTGGTGCAACCCTATGGCTTGCACTCGGCTTGTCGTCCTTGTTTGTGTGTGTGCATGCATGGCATGGAATGAATTGTGAGTCTATGTCATTGCTATCCAGTGCTTGTGTGTGTGTTTGAATGGTGTATCACAATGTGGTTTGTGTCGGTCAAGACATTAGCAAGTTTTTACAACTCGCATGTCAAGTCGTCGTTTGTGTGTCGCATGTGTTTTTTCTATTTTGTCGAGTGTGAAGTGTCGATCGTGTCGCAGGTGTGTGCAGCAAGCCCCCATCAACTCAAGAAGAATTTATCTTGCAGATCCAGGAACAAGAGCTCAAGATTTCAAGCCCAAGGGACGCGGATAAATATTAAATAGTGAAAATAGTAACGTTACTTCGTGTAGTGTTACATTTCACTTGGTGTAGCCCCTTGGAGGGTTGGTTTCGAGACTCTTCATGGTTGGGGACCCTGTGGTGGTGTACCACCAACCTGGACCTCGGCTCTTGGGGTATGTAGAGGCTGGGAACCATCTCCCTCTCGAACTCTTCTTGCTAAGTTTGTACTCCTAAGACTATTGTGGCTGCTATACCTCCTGCCAGTCAAACCGCCATAGCGTCGTCAAATCTTCATGGAATTTCATGATTCAACTTGCTGCTGATAGACGACAGCAACACGCTCCAGATCCAATTTACACATCACCGTTTGATTCAGTGACCAGATCGTTATCAGTATTTGAAGCCGTCTGACAGAAATCCGACTGTGCTCTCTATCTCTCATTATAGGCACATCTAAGCCTATTGTGATTATAACAAGTGGTATCAGAGCCCCTTGGAGCTGTCTCGACCATGCCTAGGCCTGAGGAAGGGGGTGGCAGAGGTGTTGGAGGCAGAGAAGACGCCCAAGCACAAGGTCAACACCAAGATCCACCCGTTGCTCCGGTGCAACCTAGCCTTGGACCCTCTAGGGATGAGCCTAGAGTGTTTGGCCTTGACAAGTTCAACGGTGACAACTTTGCTGAGTGGTCCTTCAAGATGGAGAACATCTTTGACCATTATGATCTGCTGGAGGTGATGGAAGGAACGGAGAAGCACCCCGAGAACGACCCGGAGAAGAGCCCGTGGGTGCGGAAGAGCGCACAAGGCTACCTTCTACTTGGGCAAGCGTTGGGGAGCAGCCAAATCCGTCACATCAAGCCTTTTCAGCGTGAACCAGCAAAGGGACCAAAGGCATGGGCTGCTCTCAAGGGTGTACACGCTCCTGCAACAGCGGCGGTGGCTGTGGTTTTGGAGCGGCAAATGGCGGCACTTCGAATTGACGAAGGCGAACCGGTGGAGGAAGGAGTGCAGAAATTCTTCGACTTGTTGACACGGCTCGAAGGAGCTGACCTGAACTACAGTGACCTTCAAAAGAAGACCAAGCTGCTAGCCTTACTTCCGGACTCATGGTCCTCGCTCATCATCAACCTTAATCGAGATCTGCCCCGTCTCTCACTCGAAGATGTGAAGCGGGAAATCTTACAAGAAGATTTCCGCCGTCGCGAATTGGCGGGTCCCGATGGTGCCGGAGTTGCAAGCATGGGCCGTGGGCACGGCCGTGGAAGGGGCAGAGGGCGAGGAGGCAGATTTGGCAGCAGCAACTTCAATGGAGGCCGTGGTAATGGAGGATATGGCAGCAACAACAATGGCTACGGGCGTGGGCGCGGTCGATTTGATGGCGAATGCCACTTTTGCCACAAGACCGGCCACATGTGGAGAGATTGCTTCAAACTACCTGATGGCTGGACCCCCTCTCAAGGCCAAGAGGGCAGAGGAGCAAGGGGAGGAAGAGGCAGAGGTCGTGGAGGCCGTGGTGGCCGTGGAGGCGAAGCGGCAAGCATGAAAGGTGGAGACTACGACAAGGACTCGAGTGAAGATCGATACCCGGGCCAATTCTTCTTTGTCTCCACGCAAGCGGCAGCTGCAGCAGGAGGTGTGGAAGGCTTTGAGGAGCCAGCTACTGTGGGAAAGGTCACCCTTCACTCTCTGGACTTTTGGGTGATCGATAGCGGCGCCACCTATAGCATGACACCTCGTGCGGACTTGCTCACCGAACTCGAACCGTCGCCGGTCAAGCATGTTACATCGGCTTTGGGACAGCGAGCAGAGGTGAAAGGCATGGGCAAGGCCATGTTCAAGGGTGCTGATGGGAAGATGGTGGGCCTCAAGAACGTGCTTTTGGTGCCCAACCTAGCAGCCAACCTGATTTCCGTTCGGCGTTTGCAAAAGGCCGGCATGGACACATCTTCCAAGGGTTCGAAAACATATACCGCGAGGCTTGGTGAGCGGAAGCTTTGGGACCTTCATGAGGACAGGGACATCTACAATGAGATGTGGCAAATCCCAGTGGTCCCCATGCCTAAGGAGAGGCAAGTGGCAGCAAGCGTCAGCACCAAGAGTGAAGCGGATGGTGGCGGTGATCACGGAAAACAAAGTGACACCAAGAGTGACTCGAAGGAGTGCAATCTTGGAGAGACCAGCAAGGCGTGTGAACCCAAGGAGAGTAGTGCAGCAGCCAAAGGTGGTGGAAATGAGGAGGGGAAACCTAAGATCAGCAAAGCAGCAGCGGCGAAGGAGAAAGGAGAGAGCTTGTGGGACACGATTGCGAGTGCCGCTTTCTCCAACCCGACTTCCGCTACGGGAGAGTGTGATTGGCTGACCTTGCATCGGCGAATGGGGCATGTGGCATTGCCCATTTTGCAGCAGATAGTTAAGCAAGAGATGGTCAGTGGGATACGTGTCAAGGGGGAGCCCAATGAGGTGCTTGGCTGTCCAACATGCATGCAAGCCAAGTTCACCCGCTACCCGTTCCATAGCTCGGAGACAACGGCGAAGGCACCACTTGATGAGGTGGTGATGGATGTGGTGGGCCCCTTGAAGCTTGGAGCTGCTGGAGCTGCGTACTTCCTCACCATTGTGGACGTCTACACTCGCATGACTTGGGTGTATGTGCTGCCAAAGAAGAGTGACGTAGCTGAAACGGTGAAGACCGATTGGTTGCCGATGGTGGAGCGGCAACAAGACCGACTTGTGAAGGCGATTCGCACTGACCGTGGGGGAGAGTTCCTGAGCAAGGATTTCTCAACTTGGCTGAAGAAGCAGGGCATAAGGCACTCTCTTACCATGCCCTACTCTCCTGCAATGAACGGCATCGCCGAGCGTGCGAATCGGACACTCACGGAGACGGCTCGGGGACTTCTCATTGAAGCCGGTCTTCCCAATTACTTTTGGCCGGATGCGGTGCGGCATGCTTGTGTGGCCAAGAACAGAGCCTTGACTCATGTGGGAGAAGACAAATGGGTGCCCTATGTGGAGTGGATTGGAAGGAAGCCGAAGGTGGATATGCTTCGGGTGTTCGGGTGCATGTGCATGGCACTTGTGCCTAAGAAACTTCGGCACAACAAACTTGATGCCAAGGCAACATGGGCCGTGCACCTGGGCATGGCTCAAAACAGCAAGGGATGGCTTCTTTGGGACCCATTTACCAAGAAGTTCTTGGTGAGCAGAGATTGCAAGTTCATGGAGAACTTACCGTACAAGGAGTGGAAGGCGGAGAACCAAGCGAAGATTGGTATGCGGCTTGGAGAGGTGAAGAGTAACGGCTTGGAGCATGTGGAGCTGCCCTTGGAGCTGAGTAGCAGCAGCACAGTCACGAGGCAATCTCCTCAAATGAATGGGGATGAAGAGGAGGAGGAGGTGCAGCAAGGTGATGAGCGTGCACCGTCACTTCCGCCTCGTGCTACAAGTGCTCGTGGGAACCGACCAGATTTACCGCAATGCCATGAGAGCATTCAAGTCCCTGCAGCAGAGGAGGAAGGAAGGGGGAGAAGGAGAACTCAGCCCCCTAATAGGTTGAGCTATGATCGGCTTGGAAGACCAGCCAACTCAACCTTGACCGGTTCGGCTCTCATGCTAGGCGATGATGCGGAAGATGAAAGCGAGGAGTGCGCCTTTGCCTTCTTCTCTCCGGTGGAGATGCCGGGGGAGCCTACAAATCCCAAGGAGGCTTGGGAGGGCCCCAATGGGAAGGAGTGGAAGAAGGCCTCAGATGAAGAAATGGGGAGCATCATCGAGAACGACACGTTTGACTTGGTGAACCTACCTCCGGGGCGTAAGGCGATCTCTTCCAAGTGGCTCTTCAAGCGCAAGACCGACGCCGACGGCAACATCGAGCGCTACAAGAGCAGACTTGTAGCCAAGGGGTATCAGCAGCAAGAGAAGAAGGACTACAATGAAGTGTATGCTCCTGTGGTGAAGGGTACAACCCTTCGAACCCTCTTCGCCGCGGCGGCCATCAAAGGATGGGTGGTGAAGCAAATGGATATCGTAACGGCCTTCCTCAACGGCGTTTTGGAGGAAGAAACCTACATGGAGCAGCCAGAGGGGTACAATGATGGGAGTGGCAGAGTGTGGAAGCTGAAGAAAGCACTCTATGGCCTCAAGCAAGCCCCTAGGCAATGGTACATCAAGCTGCGGGAAGTTTTGGAGGCGATCGGCTTCACTCCCTCAACGGCCGATCAATCGTTGTTCATGCTTGGCGAGGGGGAGCAGAGGAGCTTCATGGTGGTTTATGTGGATGACATCCTTATATTCTCACCCTCCTCTGACCTTGTGAAGGAGGTGATGCTGAAGCTTCAAGACAAGTTCAAGTGCAAGACCCTTGGTGACGTCAACTACTACCTTGGGCTTCACATTGAGCGAGATGTGGAGAAGCGGTGGATGCGAGTGCATCAAAAGAAGTACTTGGAGGCCTTGGCTGCAAACTTTGGGAAGAGTGAAGGTCATGTGGCTACTCCTCTTCCCTCAGGGTTCAAGTGTGTGAAAGGACCAGCGGAGGAAAGTGTTGGTGAAGAGGAGAGGCGCCGTTTTCACTCCTTGGTGGGCAGCCTCATGTATGCGGCCGTTCACACAAGGCCGGATGCAGCCTTTGCTACCGGGCAGCTGGCTAGGGTTGTCCAATGCCCTAATGAAGAGCAGGTAGCAGCTGGAGAGAGAGTGGCCAAGTACCTTGGCCAAACAGCAACTGTTGGACTGCAATACTCCGCGGCGGCACAAAGGCGTCAAAAGGGTGCGGATGGAGTCGAACCCGGGAGGCTTTTTCTCACCGCCTTCTCTGATGCATCTTGGGCATCAGAACCAGAGGACATGACAAGTGTGGGAGGCTTCATCTGCTGTGTTGGTGGAGGGCCAACAGCTTGGGAGAGCAAGAAGCAAGTGGACCAAGCATTGAGCTCGGTGGAGTCCGAGTACATGGCACTCTTCCGTGCCATAAGAGAGGTTGTGTGGCAGCGGCGTTTGCTAGCTGAATTGGGGGAGGAGCAGCAAGGACCTACCCCACTCTACTGTGATAGCCAGGGTGCTATTGCATTGGCTAAGAACCCCGTTCTTCATGGCCTTACCAAGCACATGAAGGTGAAGTGGCATTGGGTGAGGAGCATGGTAACCGCGGGTGAAGTGGAGTTGCACTACGTGAAGACGACGGCGCAGCCAGCTGATATGATGACCAAGAGGCTGGTTGAGCAGCAGCATTGGAAGTGTTGCAAGCTTGCTGGGATGGCTCTGAACTAAGGGGAGCAGATTCTAAGGCCAACAATCCGAGGGGGAGTTTGTTGGTGCAACCCTATGGCTTGCACTCGGCTTGTCGTCCTTGTTTGTGTGTGTGCATGCATGGCATGGAATGAATTGTGAGTCTATGTCATTGCTATCCAGTGCTTGTGTGTGTGTTTGAATGGTGTATCACAATGTGGTTTGTGTCGGTCAAGACATTAGCAAGTTTTTACAACTCGCATGTCAAGTCGTCGTTTGTGTGTCGCATGTGTTTTTTCTATTTTGTCGAGTGTGAAGTGTCGATCGTGTCGCAGGTGTGTGCAGCAAGCCCCCATCAACTCAAGAAGAATTTATCTTGCAGATCCAGGAACAAGAGCTCAAGATTTCAAGCCCAAGGGACGCGGATAAATATTAAATAGTGAAAATAGTAACGTTACTTCGTGTAGTGTTACATTTCACTTGGTGTAGCCCCTTGGAGGGTTGGTTTCGAGACTCTTCATGGTTGGGGACCCTGTGGTGGTGTACCACCAACCTGGACCTCGGCTCTTGGGGTATGTAGAGGCTGGGAACCATCTCCCTCTCGAACTCTTCTTGCTAAGTTTGTACTCCTAAGACTATTGTGGCTGCTATACCTCCTGCCAGTCAAACCGCCATAGCGTCGTCAAATCTTCATGGAATTTCATGATTCAACTTGCTGCTGATAGACGACAGCAACACGCTCCAGATCCAATTTACACATCACCGTTTGATTCAGTGACCAGATCGTTATCAGTATTTGAAGCCGTCTGACAGAAATCCGACTGTGCTCTCTATCTCTCATTATAGGCACATCTAAGCCTATTGTGATTATAACAACTTCCGCTACGGGAGAGTGTGATTGGCTGACCTTGCATCGGCGAATGGGGCATGTGGCATTGCCCATCTTGCAGCAGATAGTTAAGCAAGAGATGGTCAGTGGGATACGTGTTAAGGGGGAGCCCAATGAGGTGCTTGGCTGTCCAACATGCATGCAAGTCAAGTTCACCCGCTACCCGTTCCATAGCTCGGAGACAACGGCGAAGGCACCACTTGATGAGGTGGTGATGGATGTGGTGGGCCCCTTGAAGCTTGGAGCTGCTGGAGCGGAGTACTTCCTCACCATTGTGGACGTCTACACTCGCATGACTTGGGTGTATGTGCTGCCCAAGAAGAGTGACGTAGCTGAAACGGTGAAGACCGATTGGTTGTCGATGGTGGAGCGGCAACAAGACCGGCTTGTGAAGGCGATTCGCACTGACCGTGGGGGAGAGTTCCTGAGCAAGGATTTCTCAACTTGGCTGAAGAAGCAGG